CTTCAGTTTCTTAAAAGTTCCTTCCACTAGATGAGAATTACGCCCTAACAGAGAATGGGTTTATATAAATTCAGTGACTCTGACAACTACATTTTGTCTACAAATTAAGATTTTTGACATTTTGGGTTTTGTTGATCAGTTTCTGTGCCCCTGTTTAACGTGAGGCACACTGAGTTTAAAGAGCAGTGTACTGGGACCGGTACTGTGGCTCAGTAGGTTAATCAGCCACCTGTGGCACCGGCATCCCATATGCCGGTTCTAGTACCAGCTGCTCTGCTTCTGATCCAGCTCTCTGCTATGGTCTGGGAAGGCAGTAGAAGATGGCCCAGATGCTTGAGCCCCTGCACCCACGTAAGAGAACTGGAAGAAGCTCCTGGTTCCTGGCTTCAGATTGGCTCAGCTCTGGCCATTGCAGCCATTTGGGGAGTGAACCAGCGGATGAAAGACCTGTTTCTACCTCTCACTGTCTGTAACTCTCTCAAATAAATAAATAAAACATTAAAAAATAAAAGACCAGTGTGTCAACAAACCAGTTATTCATATGAGTTGGAAGCCTGAAACTAAAACTAAGAATGGATACTAAAGCTAAATGGAGGTCACCTGGTCCATTCAGGTTACCACTTCCCTCTATATTTGACACTGACTTAACATGAATGCCTTCAAAAAGCCAGAGGCCCCTAGACATACTTTGGAAAGCAGTAATGCCGAGAGGGAAGACAGATGACCCAAAGGTAGACTTGACAGGCATTTCACTAAAGAAATCCAAATGGCCAATATACACATGAAAAAGAATGCAATTATCATTGGGGCCAGCGCTGTGGCGTAGCAGGTAAAGCTGCTGCCTGCGGTCCTGGCATCCCATATGGGTGCTGGCTCCTGGCTTCAGATCAGCGCTGCTCCAGACATGCGGCCATCTGGGGAGTGAACCAGCATATGGAAGATCTCTCTCTCTCTCTGCCTTTCCTCTCTCTGTGTAACTGTGACTTTCAAGTAAAATAAATAAATCTTTAAAAAAAAAAAAGAATGTTAATATCATTAACAATTAAGGAAATCAAATCTAAAAATATAAAAGTAAAAACTCAGAACGATAAAGTGTAGATACGAAGCAAAACAAAATTAATGTTGGTAAAGATACTAAGAAGAGCTTGACTGCAGTAGAGTGCAAATGAGTCTATCACCTTGGAAGACCAGAAGCATATCCCACTACCCAGGAATTTACTTCATGTTCCTAAAGAAATTCTTGTGTATGTGTACATCAGAATTCATGTTCATGACAATGCTGCTTATAAAGTAAAAAAAAAGCCTCAAGGCACAGAATGGAAAGACAGTGAACACAAACATGATTGAATACTATACAGCAATGAAAATGGACAGACAAGTTGCATGCAACAATATGAACAAATTTCATAAAATTATTAAGCAAGAGAGGAGGAATATAAATAGTATGATTCCATTTATATAACATTTAAAAACAGACTAAATTATATTTCTTAGAGACATGTTCATGGATGGTCACATTAATTTAACTTTAACAATTTATTTATTTATTTATTTAACAAGCAGGGTTAAAAAGAAGGGAGACAGAAAGTGAGAGATTTCCCATCACTAGTTCACTTTCCAAATGGCTGCAAAGGCCAGGACTGGGTCAGGCCAAAACCAGGAGCCAGAACTCCACCCAGGTCTCCCATGGGGGTGGCAGGGGTCCAAGTACTTGGGCTGTCTTCTGCTGCTTTACCAGACCCATTACATTAGCAGGGAGCTGGATCAGAAGTGGAGCTGCTGGGACTCAAACCAGATCCAACATGGGATGCCAGATTCATAGGCTACAGTTTAACCCATTCTGCCACAATAGAGGCCCCTGGTCATTACTTTTATAGAAAGCAAGAAAACTTGTATTACAAGAATAATAGTGATTGACAGTGATTACTTTAGGGGAAGAGCATTACCCTAGGGAAAGAAATGTGGTCAGGAAAGGGCAAAAAGGGACTTCTGGAATAATGTTCCATTCTTGATCTGGATGATGGCTTGGGGCCGGCACTGTGATACAGTGGATCAGGCCATTGCCTACAATGCCTGTATCCCATATGAACACTGGTTCTAATGCCAGTTCCACTTCCAGTCCAGTTCCCTGCTAATGCACCTAGGAAAGCAGAAAATGATGGCCCACGTTTGGTCTCCTGCCATTCACATGGGAAACCCGGATGGAGTTCCCAGCTCCTGTCTTTGGCCTGGCTCGGCCCTGGCTGTTGTAGCCATCTGGGAAGTGAAATAAGGGATGGAAGATCTCTGTCTCACCCTTTGTAATAATCTTTGAAAAAGCAAAACAAAAAGACCACGAAGATGTTCACTTTAAAACTGTTCTTCAACTTGCATGTATGTTTTATATATTTTTGTATAGCTATACATCAATAAAAAATGTTGAAATAAAGCAAATAAATTAATTACTTCAAAATTCTACTTATAGCGAACCCTATCTTTCCCGAAATTTCTGATATGAAATACCAACTTCCTAAGCAAATAGGGGTCCAAATGAGAGGGGAAGTCCTTTTAAGATTAGCCCTAGATATGCAAAGGATTAGAGTATACACTGAACTGGGAACCAGGCCTAGAGTTAACTACAACTGGCAAATAGAGAGAATATGTGAGAAAATATTTTTGGTCAAAACCACATATACTCAAAGTCCTCATTTTAACTCTAGTGATTGCTCCTTGTTTATGTTACTTAAATTTCAATTACTCTATTATTCCCAGAAATCTTCATACCAACAGCTACACTTTTAAAAAAAAAAGTTTTTGCGTTCTCTTGTCCTCCCCAGATCAATGTAAATGTCTAGCACACATTTTCTTTTTTAAAGATTTATTTTATTTATTTGAAAGAGTTCCAGAGAGGTAGAGACAGAGAGAGGTCTTCCATCTGCTGGTTCACTCCCCAGATGGCTGCAACGCCGGAGCTGCTCCAATCCAAAGCCAGGAGCCAGGAGCTTTTTCCGCGTCTCTCACGTGGGGGCAGGGGCCCAAGGACTTGGGCCATCTTCTACTGCTTTCCCAGGCCATAGCAGAGAGCCGGATGGAAGAGGACCAGCTGAGACTAGAACCGGCGCCCATATGGGATGCCAGAGCTTCAGGCCAGGGCATTAACCCACCACGCCACAGCGCTGGTCCCACACATTTTCATTTTTAAGGTTTCTACTTCACTGCTTCCCATTCTCTTTTCTGAAGAAATGAAAATCTTAGTAATCTCTCTTTCTCATATACATATATAAGCAAAACTTATGCTCTAAAAAAATAAAACTCTTTTTTTTCTCATTTGTAATACAGAATGGCAAAGTGTTGGGAAATTGAAAATTATGCTACAGTGAACACATGGCAAGAAAAAGTATAGCACAAAGAAATGAGGATAAAGGATTGGTGCTGTGGCATTGTAGGTAAAGCCACCACCTACAGCTTTGGCATCCCATATGGGTGCCGTTTCAGTCCCGGCTGCTCTACTTCCAATCCAGCTCCCTGCTAACATACCTGGGAAAGCAGTGGAAGATGTCCCAAGTACTAGGGCCCCTGCAGCCACGAGGGGAGACCCAGAAGAAGCTCCTGGCATCTGGCTTTGAATGGGCTCAGCTTTGGCCATCACAGCCATTTGGGGAATGAATCAGAGGATGGAAGATCGCCCTCTGTTTCTCCCTCTCTCTCTGTAACTCTACCTTTCGAGTAATAAATAAATCTTAAAAAAAAAAAAAAAAAAGAAAGAAAAATGAGGATTAAATAATTTTCTCTAAGACAAAGGCTTGAAAAGTAAATTAATAAAAGTTTTTGGGTAAATTTTTTCAGTTTCTGTTTTTCTTGATTGTTTTTAAGCAAAGGAAAAATGTCATTCAAGCAATTTAACTTTCAATTAGATTTTTTTTAAAAACCTTTTAAATAATTTTTTGAACTTTTAAAGATGTTTTAAACTTTACATAGATGCAGTGAAATGCATAAATCTCAAATGCATAGCTTGATAATGTTTCCAAGGGTACTACAACGATTTCATGGAAAATGGAACTAAAAGCTAATTTGGGGGGCCTGGCACAGTGGTGTAGCAGGTAAAGCCACTGCCTGCAGTATAGGCATCCCACATGGGCGCCAGTTCCAGTCCTAGCTGCTCCACTTCTGATCTAGCTCTCTGCTGTAGCTTGGGGAAGCAGTAGAAGATGGCTCAAGTCCTTGGGCCCCTGCACCCATAAGGGAGACCTGGAAGAAGCTCATGGCTCCCAGCTTCAGACAGGCACAGCTCCAGCCATTACAGCCATCTGGGGAGTGAACCAGTGGATAAAGACCTCTTTCTCTCTCTCTCTCTTTCTCTCTCTCTGCCTCTTCCTCTCTACAACTCTGCCTTTCAAAAAAAATGAATAAATATTTAAAAAAAAAAAAAGCTAATTTTGGCAGAAAAGAATCTGAAATCCACGCAATATTCTCATAATATGCATTTTCGGGCTGGCACTGTGGCACAGCGGGTTAACGCCCTGGCCTGAAGCGCCGGCATCCCATATAGGCGCTGGTTCGAGACCCAGCTGCTCCACTTCCAATCCAGCTCTCTGCTATGGCCTGGGAAAGCAGCAGCAGATGGCACAAGTCCTTGGGCTCCTGCACTCACATGGGACACCCAGAAAAAGCTCCTGGCTCCTAGCTTCGGATCAGTGCAGCTCCAGCTGTTGTGGCCAATTGGGGAGTGAACCAACGGATGGAGAACTCTCTGTGTGTAACTCTTTCAAATAAATAAATATTTAAAAAATAATATGCATTTTCTACAAAATTTTTAGAGTACCATATATATGTGTGCATATATATATACATATATATACACATAAACATAAACATAAACATATATATATATATATCTCCATGTTACTGCCAGGATGAAGCAACATACTTAAAGTTAGATTTGAAAGTCTTATTTGAAAAGGCAGGAGTAAAAAAGAGATTAGATACTCTGTTCCTCTATTACTTAAATTTTATTCTCATACCTCAAATTCATCTTGAGTACTTTGAACATTGCACCATCTGGCTACAGGTTCAGGAACCACTTCCCAGTCTTCGCAGACTTGTTTAAGAATATTCACAAATGTTGACTTCCCTGCAGCTGTTGTAAGAAGAATGGCAAATTGAGAAAGAGAACTTGTGAAAGGGAAAAAAAAAAAAGGTCAACTAGTCATGAACTTTTACAGGATTTATAATAACAAATAATTCAAAACACAAAAGCAAAAAACCCCAAACATTCAACTTCCTGAATTTTTTTAGATTTTCTTTTTAATGAAAACAGAACTCAATTTTTGTTAAGCATATTTGTTTGTTATTACTTTTAGTTTAGCTAAATCATGAAATTAAAATCCTGGTGAAATTCTAGGTAAGACGTTATGGCAGAAAAAAAAAAACAAACCCTACTCTTACATTGACTATCCTTAGATAATTAGACAACTGCTCCACATAATCAGTTGTGTGATCTGAGGCAAGTCCCTGAACCTCTGTTTCCTCAAAATACAATTACATGTGCTCATGCAAACTGTTGTGATGAAAGTAACTATCCCTACCATGATAGGCATTTCAGGATCTTCCATTTTCAGAAGTGTCCTCTCTACTAGCTCCATTCTCACTGGACACAAACAGGCTCATTCTTATCTATCTAAAATCAATTAACAAACAGCCATAAAATCAATATAAAGATTTACCTAGGACCTCAAGTTTTAGAATGGGAAACAGTATGTTTATTATATAAAATTAATAGTCACTTTGACTAACAGAAACTTTAAAAACATGTTTGCAAAGCACTTCTCACAAACAGTCATGTTCTCTCAGCTTCATTTTCACGGTTCCATGCCCAGTATACTCTACCAAATTTAAAAAGAGAGACACACACGTGCTCATGTAAGTGACATACTTTACCCTGATCATTCATCAGTTTATGAGATATCTAGGAGGAGTAAAAGAAAATAGACCATGTGTAATCAGGACATACTATGTTCACTGTTTTAAAATTATCCAGGAATATATTACATGTATAGTTAGAACTGTCTTGACAAAGAATCAAACAGGGTGCAGCAATACGACAACCACACCCTTTGTATCTGAAGTCACCAAATGTGGCTATAGTACACATCTCTGGTAAACAATGTTGTGTGTGTGTGTGTCTCTCTCTCTCCTCTTCTTCCTCACTACATATATACACATTTGTGTATATAAAGGAAATCTGCAAAATTTTCACGGAAAATGCATATTTTGAAAAAACTACACATAGGTCTTAAATTTTTTGACCCAAAATAAATTATCTGTTTTAAAATCTTTTTCATTTATTTGAGAGACAGAGAGACACAGAGGCAGAAACACAGAGTTCCCATCAACTAACTGGTTCACTCCCCAAATGCCTACAATGACTGAGACTTGGCAAGGTTGACAGTAGGAGCTGGGAATTCAATCCTTCTGTTATGAGTGGCAGGAGCACAATTACTTGAGCCATTACCACTGTCTTCTAGGGTCTGCACCATCAGGAAGGTAAAGTCAGTACATAAGCTTCTTATCCACTAGGCTAAATGCCCGCCCCAAACTTATCTTTTAATTTCATTTTTCTAGAAACTCCTTGATGTACCCTTGTGTATATACATGAATACACAGATGAAATAACTTGAATATACTGATAGGTAAAAGTTCTTATTTCTTACAAATTGGATCTAAAAACAAAAAGAACTTACCTTTTACTACCATAATTATATTCAAACCTCAGACTTCATATAGGGCAGTAGAAAAGAAGTAAAAAACTGGAAGAACGTTAAAGGATCACAAGAACAGAAAAAAGAAGACTAAATAAAAAGGCAGCACCATGAGAACAGATAGGAAGCAAGATAAAAGTCCTATCATTTCCAGAGGGGAGGCAAAGAACTTTTAAGGATGAACTGGCTAATTATTAAATTTAATCATGGAGAAACAATAGAAACAATTAAAAATTTATGTACAGGACTAAGATTAGGGACTGTACACCATTTGGAGTAATGGTAAATGAAAAACACAAAATATCACCCAACATTCACTAAATTAGATGGAAGATGAAAAGAACAGGATATTCAGAAAGAGCACCCAAAAGAAGTTTTAAAAATCTGGAATCAGAGTCTAAAAGCACTTAAAGCTAGCACATTCTACTTTTTTCTGATCCTGCTTATGTGCAGAAAAATTTCATGGGTTCATATTTCTAAATATAATAAGTTACATTTAGTTGAAAGAGAAGTTAATCCACTGTGTTATTGATCTGAGGGTCTTTTCACTAAATTTACTTTTGAAATGGCTTTGTTCAGTTTTCTCCCATCTTCATGTTGTCTTCCTTCTTTATTAAGATTTATTTTTTTTCTCCTCTCCTCTCGCTCACTCTCTCTTCCTTTCTGTCTCCTGACCTCTGTCTCTGTCTCTCTTACACTCTCCTTATCCCTCTTTTCCTTCTTCGCCCCTTCCCTCCAGTCTGTCGGGTTTCCTCCAATAAACTCGTTCCCTTAAAAAAAAATAAAATAAAGATATATTTTATTTATCTGAAAGGTAGATTTACATAGAGAAAGAGAGAGCAAGATCTTCCATTCACTGGCTCACTCCCCAAATGGCCACAGTAGCCCAGGCTGGGCCAGGCTGAAACTAGGGGCAAGGAGCTTCTTCCAGGTCTCTCGGCGTGGTGTAAGGGCTCAAGGACTTGGGCCATCTTCTTCTACATTCCCAAGCTCATTGGCAGGGAACTGCATTGGAAGTGCAGCAGCAGGGATGCAAACCACCACTCATATGGGATGCTAGCATCGAAGGCGGCATATCTCTTTATGTCACAATGCCAGCCCCATATACGGTCTTGTTTACCTAAAAATAGCTGTGAGGAACCATACTAATCAATCCAGTCAGACTAATATCCAGCTCTTTAACCTTGGGGAAAGAAGTGGGAGCTAAAAAATAAGATAATTAATAAGTTAATGTTTGATAAAGACAAGAGAACAAGAACCTAGAGCACTGATTTAATACCTGAAAAAGGCTTGGGGCTGGCACTGTGGCATTAGCAAATAAAGCCACTGCCTGCAGTTCCGGTGTCCCATATGGGCGCAGGTTTGTGTCCTGCTCCACTTCTGATCCAGTTCTCCGTCATGGCCTGCGAAAGCAGTTGAAGATGGCCCACGTGCTTAGGCTCCTGCACCTGCACTGAAGACCCAGAGGAAGCTCCTTGCTCCTGACTCCAGATCAGCCCAGCTCTGGCCATTGTGGCCATCTGGGAATGAACCAGCAGATGGAAGACCGACTGATCTCGATCTCTCTCTCTCTGCCTCTATGTAACTCTGCCTTTCAGATAAATAAATAAATCTTAAAAAAAAAAAAAGAGGAATCACATAATAATTTTCTAGAGAATAACAATTTATACATTTCTGGCTTGTTCGGATCTGGAAACAGGTGGTAGACATGGACAATGGGAGAGCAGTAACAAACAGCATCTGACAAAGCTGCAGAATCAGAAGATAACGCAAGGCAAAGCAAATACTACACCTAAATACCAACTGCTGTCAAACAGTAATGTGGGACCACTGTTAACCATCTTCAGATTTTTCAAAAAGCCTAGAATCTAGACATTCACATGAAATTCCCAAATTTTAAATGCCAGCAACTGTTTTTCCAAAATCTTTGCAGACCAATGTTGTGCAAATCTAAGTGAATAATTTGCAACTCCTGTCAGTGTAGGTAATTTGCATATAAAGACTGCTCTGAATGTATTTAAGAGAAAATGGAGGTGGCATATTAGAAAGTTATTTCAGAGGCATGCTTTCATGCAGTGGTTACATCTGCATCCCACGTGGGAGTGTTGGGAGTGAATATTTTCTTTTTCTGGGTTCCACATTCCTACTAATGTGCACCCCTAGGCAAAAATACTTGGGTCCTTGCCACCCACATGGGAAGCCTAGATTGAGTCCCTGGCTCCTGGCTTCAGCCTGGCCTACATCTGGCTATTGCAGGCATTTAAGGAGTGACCCAACAAATAGGAGCTCACAGTCGAGGGGAGGGGAGGGGAGGGAGGGGAGGGAGGGAGGGGAGGGGAGGGGAGGGGAGGGGAGGGAAAAGGTGGGGGAACTGGTAGTTATTTCAGGTGCTAGGGTAAGGATGTTTGGAAAAAAGCAGATTTCTAAATGTGATATTTTGTCTAACTGGACTTGAGAGAGGGAAGGAGATTAATCCATTGTGGTATTTACCTGAGGGGTTCATTTAAGTTTACTTTCAGGTGACTTTCTCCTGCCTTCACATATGGTCTTCTTTACCAGGAAAGAGCTATGACAAACCATCCTAATAAACATGCAGCCTCAAAGAACTTACACTAAGAGGAAATGAGGCTTTTTCACTGGTGTCTTAATACTGGAGAAGTGAGTGTTTGTTCAGCTTTGAGCTTTTTTAAAATGCTTAATGCATTGCGGTGCCTTTTTCAAGAAGGGATAGTGTTCTGAATGTGGTAAGATTAAAAAATAGTTACTGTACGTATGAATGGCCAGCACTCAACCTGCAGTCCAAAAGTAGTAATTTTTTCTATCAAAACAGGAAGTATTAAGTGTAGATTTCATATGGTAGGAAGTATAGAAGAATGGAAGTTCATATGTTTCTTGCAAAATGACAGGCATAGTGTAGTCCGCCTTATCATGGTTAAGAAAAATTAGTTTCATAACCCAGTTTTTTCCTGGATGTGGGATTAAGGGTGAGAAACTTCACGCTATTAAGATGGTTAAAAATCTTTCTTTGTACTTGAATGTTTATAGTGTTTTTACAAATAGCTAAAAATTAGAAACAATCCAAAGGTACACAATTGGCAATAGGAAAACCGTGGTTTATCCAGCAAGGGAATACCACTCCGCAATAAAAAGGAACACTCTACAGGAATCAGTAACATGAAGAAACCTCACAAGCACGATGCTCAGGAAAGAGGCCAGACACAAAAGGCTTTCTGCTCCCTGATGCCGTTTACAGGGCGAACTCTGCAGGGGCAGCGGTCAGATCGGTGGCTGTCAGCACAGAAGAGGCAGAGGGCTGCCTACAAAGGAGCTTCCCCAGGCGACAGCCGTGCTCTGTGGTGGTCACAGAATGACACTAGACTTCTCACACCTCACTGAAGAGCGCACCTAAAAAGTGTGCACTTAACGGTGTACATTACACTTCAAGAAATTTGCCCACCCCCACCCCCACCTTCCGCGAGCCACCAACAAAACGGAACAAAACAAACAAAGCCCCCCCCTCCCCTTTTGCCAGTTCCCAGCCAGGAAGGTGCAGCGGCCCGGACAGCGCCACACAAAGCCGGCAGGCCTGGCGCCCCGCCGGACCCCCGCGGCCGCCGCCTCCCCCGCGCGCGGGAGGTGACGCGGGCTGCGCGCGGGAAGCGAAACCGAGGCGGCTCCCCCCCGGCTTTGGGCCCCTCACCGATATTCCCTTCGATGGACACTTTCTTGATGCGGGTCCCCTCGGAGCTGGTGGAGGGAGACGGGCAGCTTCTCTTGGGCGGAGTGGCCATGTTCGTCTGGCGGCGGCCCCAAGCGCGTCGGGCGGGGAGGCGGTCACAGGTGCGCGCCGGGCTCGCGCAGCTGCCGAACCTGCCCCGACTGGCCTGCGCGCAGCATCCCCGGCCGGCGGGCCCCGGGTTTAATTTTGGCGCGCGGAGGCAGCTGCCGGCGGGGGCGGGCCTGCGGTGCGGCTCCGCCCTGCCTCCCCCCACGCCGCACCGCGCCGAGTCCCAGCCCCGATCCCCTCGCGGCCCCGGCGCCCTCTCCCGCCTCCGGCGCGGCCCGTGCGTGCGTCACGCCGGTCACGCGACAGCGCGCGCGAATACCCGGGCGCCGGCGTTGGCGGCGAAAATGGGAGACGCCCCGGCGCGGGGGGAGGCGCTAAGCGCTTGCTTTGGCGCGGTTTGTGTAGACCTGAGGCGTCCTGACAGAGATGGGGTTGAACCTTGGAATGCGTCACGGAGAACAGTCTGTATGGTGGGGGAAAAAAAAAAGAAATCAAATGGCTAACCCTGTGTTCCTCTCCTCAGGGCCGCTTTGGCGTAACGCCAGGCCCTGCCCTAGGCTCTTTTTAGGCTCTTTTTATTCAGGCGCCGTGATCCCGTCACGAGCCTCGTTAAGCACAGAGACGAAACACGCGCTGGGGGGCTAACTTGTTGCGGCAAGGTCAAGGTCAAGAGGAAGTGCGCTGGGGTTTGGGAGCCCGGCACCACCCGCAGGAAGCCTCTCCAGACCGCCCCTGCCCCGCCCGTTTGATTTGGTTGCGCGTCTGTGCTGTGTACAAGTTGCCACACTGGGTGGGGTTGTGTTCAGCATGACTGGCTTCATTAACTTTGTATGCCCTACACCTTGGCGCAGTTAACAACCGTGAATTTTTGAAAGGCTGCTTCCGTGCTAAGTACTCTGGAGCAAGACTCCCGCGGGTAGGGACACATGCAGTAACAGACATGCCCACGGTTCACTTTTCATCAGGGGAAAGACAGTAGGCCAGGTATTACCCAGTCTGGAAGTTACCTGGCTCTAACTGTACAAAAATCAAAAGGTTCTTCTGTTTTCTTTTTTGGTACTTTGCAGCTATCACCTGATCTGCATCTAAAAGTTGAACTAGAAGAATGGTTATGAAATGGTGACTCCATTCTCAGAAATAAAGAGCAGAAATCTATCAAAATGCGATTCCCTGAGGAATTCTAGGGTGAAAATACCAAAATCATTCTTTGTAAATTCCCTATATTGTTATATAGTGTTACTTTATTTTTTTATTTGAGAAATACAAAGTGAGGAGTTGCCCATCCACCAGTTCACTTCTCAAATGCCCACAAAGGCTAGGGCTGGGGGACTCAATCCAGGTCTCCCACATGGGTAGCAGAACCCAAATTATTTGAGCCATCACCAATGCCTCCAAGGGTCTGCATTAGCCGGCCGTTGGGAGTCAGGAGCTTGTGCCAGAAACCGGCTCTGCTCCCAATTCTAGCTTCCTGCCAATGCAGGCCCTGAGAGGTAACAGGTAAATGGCTCCAGCGGTTGAGTCCCTGCCACACATGTGGAAGACCTGGGCTGAATTCCTGACTCCTGTCTGGGGTCTTGGCCTTTGTATGCATTTGGGAAGTGAACTGTGGACTGGGAGCTTTCTGTTTCCCTTTCTTTGCCTTTCAAAACCATCCACAATAACAACAACAAAAAATCGAAGAAATACAGTGTATATGTACTGTATGTATTAAGTAATCACTCCTACCCCACTGCAGAGATGTTAAATACATTAACATTGTGCAGTAAAATGTAGAATTTTTACCTTGAGATAAAGATGGTTAACTTCAGGTCAGGTTAAATTTGCACTGAATTCAAGAAACTACTTTCAATTTTCTGAGCTTTTCATTTGAAACTGTAGACCAGACATGGTACTCAGTATCCAGCCAGACATGAGCATGCGACCATCTTGACCTGTCCTTGCCAGAAATGTTCAATTTGGGGATACTTTTTCTCCTGTGGATATTCTGGTATAACTAAAGAATAAGTCAGGATCCTGACTGACAACAAATCTTATTAAGAAAACTAACCAATTCAGAAAGTGAAGGCAAAGGCAGAAAATGTTAGGAGGTCCTGAACATTGGTAAGTAATAATTATATAGTCCATGCATTTGTCTATACCAACCCAAGTGTAAAATTTCATTTATCAATTTGATTAGTTGTAAATTTCCTCCTGAAACCCTCTTTATTGCATAGAAAATAGGAATGCAGAAGCCATCATAAAAACAAGACTGGGAAATCAGGGTGCCAACAATTTTGGAAATGTGAAAGCAAAGTAACCCACTAGCAGAGCACAGGAACCATCAGACACATAGAGCTTAGCAAAATAGTTGTTTGCATGCTTGTAAAGGTGAACTTAGGACATCAAGACAATGTATTTAAAACAGGAGCATGTTAAACATGGTTAACCCTTAAAGGAATAACTATTTAGAATTATGTGTTTTGTGTTGCCAAAATACATCATTCTAGATAATTCTGTATAAGGAAGTAACAATTTGCATTTAGTACAATAGAGATATATGAAGCTAATTATCAAACTGTGATTGATTTCATCATGTGTGTTTATGAGGAAGCTTCAGAAAGTTCATGGAAAATGCACATTATCTTTTAATTCTATTTTTTCTCAGAAATTTTTTGAAGCCTCCTTGTGTATTTTTACACACAAATGTTTTATAGATATTTGCAGAATAACAGGTGTTTTTAAAGCCTGCATAGTCCACATCAGTGTGAACCAGCATTGTGACTCATCTTTTTATATCATTAGGGACTTTAGGCAACTATAGACAGTACCATCAAAATATTCTCAACTTCAAGATCCAAACAAAAGCCTCTGATAAAAACATCTCTAAATAATGATTTTCTAAGAATCTCTAAAATACTTATTTTCTTTTGGAATTGACATTAGGGCAAGTGATTTTCCAATATTGTTTAATATTCCTTAATGATTTATACTGAAGACAAAATATTAGATAAAAGCAAGCTGGAAAGGTCAATAAAGAACTCATTATTCCAATAAATATTCTCATTCTAGTAGTTTACATTAAAGAAAACAAACACAAACATTGGTTTCAAGTGCAGGCATATTAGGGTTTTTAAACTATTCCAATGACTTGTATAACTTGTGAATTTTGGTTTTCTAGTAGGTAAGACTCAGATATTAACTTTCAGGGTCATGAACATTACATAAAATAATGCCCAAAACATTCAAAATGTTCAATATACTCTATATACCAATATTGCCCTGGGAATGTGTTTAGTGTGAGAGTACCTACAATAAAAAGAAACCATCACTGGGGCCGGTGCTGTGGTGCAGTGGGTTAATGCCCTGACCTGAAGCACCAGCATCCCATATGGGCGTCAGTTTGAGACCTGGCTGCTCCACTTCCAATCCAGCTCTCTGCTATGGCCTGGGAAAGCAGTGGAAGATGGCCCAAGTCCTTGGGCCCCTGCACCCGCCTGGGAGACCAGGAGGAAGCGCTTGGCTCCTGGTTGCAGATCGGCGCAGCTCCGGCCATTGCAGCCTATTAGGGAGTGAACCATCAGATGGAAGACACTCTCTCTCTCTCTCTCTCTCTCTCCTCTCTCTGTGTAACTTTGATTTTCAAATAAATAGATCCTAAAAAAAAAAAAGTCATCCAAAGGATTCATGGCCAAACATAATGATTTATTAATTTTTTTATAAACATTCAATTTCTTCCTTAAAAAAACTTATAATTTAAATATCCCATCACATACAAGTCTGTATACATTATTTACATCTTTCAAATAAAACATATTACAAATTTTCTGACATTCGGTATGCCCTTTAAAACAAAAATGATGAAGCAAATTCTGATCATTAGCAACTACAACCTGCATAATCTTGGCACAGTTTACAATATAGCGCCCATATTCCATATTTTAGACCATTTTTCCCCTTCCAGCTACTTAACTATAGAGACAAACTGTCCCTCTCCACTAGAGTGTGATCCCTGTATCGATGCAGTCTCTTAAACACTAGCACAGTGTGAATGCTGCCTTTATGCTTCCATCCCCTGGCATTGGCAGTATTCCTCTTCTTTTGTCTTCACACTTTAAGTATTCTCTTGTGTACTGTATTCTCTCAGTCTAGATTTCTTGACACTGTTCCTATTGGTAATTTAAAGTAATAATTTAAATATGTAGGAAAAGTTCAAATAGAACAAAGTGTTCCCTACAAGATTAGTGCCCTCACCACCCTGCTTAAACATGTACAAAAATAACAAATACAATTTAGTGGCTGTAAAAAACTATTTTCCCTAAAAATAGTCATTTCTGCAGAACAATTTAAGGAGAAAAATGTTGTTAAAATGAAAATGCACTCATTTATTTTTACAATCTGCACAATTAAGTGTTTCTGAAACAAAAATGAAAACTGTGCAAAATTGTAAGAAACATCTACCTGTAAGAATTTAATATTAATAATATATGAAATAAAATTAAATATTAATAAAGTTTTACTTTATATCACGAATAATCTCAGCTTCAGTGACATAACTTAAAAAAAGCTATCAACTGAAACCTGTGTATTGACACTAAGTACTTTTGAATCACTAACAAAGAAAACTTAGAGGAATCAACCTGCTTTGCTTGAAATGTGTCTGTGTGTATGTACCTGCATACCTTGTGTTTGTGACATGGAGGATAAGGAGTCAAGAAAAGAGCTACAAAAGGCCAGTGATTTTACTATCTTTAGAACTGTAGTACAAAGTTATCTATTGTATTATACTATGTGCAGAAAAAAATGTACATTACATTTGCAAAACTGAGAGTACCCAGTATTTTAACCTGTTTTGTCAAATGTAAATTAGTTCAACTACAAGTGGCAGACATACAGCGCAGTTTTATAATAAATTATTCTGTGATTAGCTTATTAGGAAATTCATAAAATTCAAATCATCTACAGTCAGAATTGTTACATCTTCAAATTAAAATTTTCCAGCATATCTTGAAATAGCTTTACCTCTAAACATTTATTATCTCATACACAACTAAGTTGATAGCTGAACAAGTGATTCCTATGCTAAATCTTAACATCAGGACAAAATTCTTGGCATTTAAATTATTTTGGGAGTGGTCCTTAAAGTATAGATCTGTGTTTCTAAGAATTGATATAGTCTTTATTATACCAGATAAGTTTCAAAAAGACATAAGTTTTCATAGTACAAAGTCAC